CTTTAACTATTTTTTTCTTACTTCACAATTATATTCTCATATAAGGTCTACATTCTAAATATAATCTCATAATAAGTCCTCAAAATGTTCAACAACAACAAAAAACAAATGCTTAAAAAAACAAAAAACAACTTACGCCCCCCAGGCCACCACTTAATAGAAGTCACTGTAGGGCTGTTGAGAATGAACTCCTGGGTTTTGGGGTCATATGTGGCAGTAGTCTCCAGGCCTCGAAGGTGAGTTCCTAAGGAAAGAGAGCAGATGACCTCAGCTACAGCACAGAGGGGAAAGACCAACCAGACAGACAGACAGACTCCCTGCTGAATCCTGGAAGTTCCAGGCCTCAGAGGAAGCTGAGAAGCAGCAATGTGTTTGTGGACAGAGCTGTGAGTGATGGACAGCTCCCCACTAGGCCGCACACAGAAGGTCACGAGCAGCCATCCCACTTTAATGTGTCCTATTTCCCGAGACCAACACAGAGAGGATGGAGAGAGAGCACACGGTCTAAGGACAGAGACAGCTACTCTCCTGCATCACTGTGCCGTGTGCCGGTACACATGAGCCGCAGCACACCAGCTCCCACCAAGTAGGTCCTGGGAATTGAACTTGAGCCACATTGCCAGGCTGGGCCGCCATTTCTGCATTTCAAAATGACAACTTCAACTCTAGCAAAGTGTTCACCTCTGTACTGAGGCAAAGAGGCAGCATGGGAGAGAGGCAGACTCAGCTAGACCTTTCTATATATGCAAAACTTATTTCAGAACGGTCACTACATATGTTTGTTATGAAAAGTGACTTCCTGTAACAGAGCAGTAGAGACAAAATGTTCTCACATGACAGCTGAACTCAGCTGTATACCACCTTGTATCTTGTGAGGAGTCTATAAAATGTTGCTCAGTGTTAAGAGGGGGCTGTACAGAATGTACCTTTCTCTGACTCCTCACAATGGGGCAGGGGACAATTAAGGTGGGGCGATCTGAGATGCCAATGTAGAACATGAGAAAAACTACCACCTCCAGCCCCACCTGGTTCAGAAAGAGAGGCAAGGTGGCAAGTGTGTGCAAACAGTTTGATGTCAGTGGCCTGGAAGTACGGCTTAACTTTTCTAACCTCTGGTCAAATCACCCTCAAACTTCAAAGTACCTCAAGTGACTTCAAGGTGTATTATATACTGCACACTCTGACTCCAGGAAGCTACACATCTCTCTACAGGAAGTCAAAGGCCACTCATACATTACCTGTCCTTCTGAGGTAATCATCAGAAAGAAACAAACAGATGTGCTCAGAGTCTACACACACGGACTCCACAGACTGCATGGCTGTAGGCCTGACTGGTCATCCCTAATCTTCTGAAGGAGGGTCAGGAAGAACCAGCAACCATGGTGATAAAATAACTTCACTTCCATTGCCTGAGCCTAAGCCGGGAGCCGGACTCTGCAGAGGCTCATGGGGTGGGTGCTCTATACAGGTCCGGTCCGCAGGGCCCGCCCACCCAGAAGGTAGACTAAATACACTGTACCATGACCCATCTCTGTCTGGGCATAAGTGCCTGTGATCTCCAAATTCCAGGCCGGCATGAAGAAGCGTTCTTGCTGCTCTGCGGTGGCCTGGTGAAGCAAGGTGGGCAGGAACATGCCCAAGTGAAGATCCAAAGGCTCAGGTCGCCCTCGGTGTACAGAGCTTCGAAGAAATACCAAGGACAGGCAATTGAGGGAAGCATCATCAGGTGTGCAAGAATCAACAATGTGAGCAGACAGAGCAGGGGGAGAAAAAACAACAGTGAGTGTGAATCAGTCACGTGCACTTCATCATGGCCGGGAGGGAGCAGCGCCCTTTTCTGTGTTACGTCAGACTCAGCAATGCCCGTCTTTCTTAAGTGGCAATGTGTGGCAGGGACGGCTATGGAGACCCAGCACAGACAATGTGCGAGGGCAGGACTCCAGCCTTTAGGCTGGTGAAAGGAAATGAAAAGTCTGAGGGGCCTGAACGGGAAACAGGGCCGTTCTCTCAGGGTTAAAATGAATCCAGGCTAAAGTTTCTCTGAACACAACAATTTTAGTTAAGTGTCTAGACTGGGATCCTTTCTGTTTGTTCAGAAAATACTGAGGACAGACCCACAGTCTTTACATGACGAATTTCACCGTGTCAGATACTCGAGGGTTGGATCTATTGGTGCAGATTAACACAGAGAGGGACAGTGCTCTCCACCCCAGCAATTCCAGCAATTCCAGACGTGTGATCTTGTGAGGATTATTACAATTGCAAATCGTCATTAGGGCCTGTGATCCATTGGGATGCATTTAACTATCTTAGAGATGAGCCTGGCTCAGAACCTTTCAGTCTCCTAACCTCTCGCTCTGCCTGTTCCAGCCTGTTCCCTCTGAGACAAGGCTGCTGTGCTCCGAAGAGCTCACCAGGACCTCTCCAAGGCAAGCGAGTGGCTGTGCTTCGGGCTAACTATCCACAAGACACAGTGCCAGCCCCACTTCACAAAGAGAAGAAGATGGATAGCCAAGCATCACGGCTGCATCAAAAGGACACTGTCGAGCCAGTTCAAAGATGCTGCAATCTAGTCCCATCTCCAGTCTCTGGGTGACAATCTTAACGGTCAAGCGTGAGGCTGAGGATGTCTAAAATCCAGAGCTGTCCTTAGAAACATCAAAACGGAAATCCCAAAAGATGGGCCACTAGCAGGGCAGGTGAAAGGGCTGTGGGGACGCTTGGTGCTACTTTTGCAACTCCCTATGAATTTGTAATCATTTTTAAATTAGATAAAAAATTGAAATCAATTCATGGAACTAGCTGTGATGGTGCACATTTGTAATCCAAGCACATTGGAGACCGAGGCAAGATTCCAGGTCAAGGCCAGTTTAGGCCACACAGGGAGACCCTACCTTAGAAACCCAAACCACATCGACCAAATCAAACCAAACTGCATTTGTGAGATGCCCTTCTCATTCGTGCCAGCATTGGGAAGGGGGCACAGCTCAGTGGTAAACAGTTTGCCTTGGGTTTGCTCTATCACAGACAGACAAAAACCAAATCACTGCTAATCTCCCACACCTAAACCTAGAATTCATACAGGAGGCCCTGGATTTAAATGAGTGGGGAACCCTAGACTAGGGTGACACTCACAGTAGAGATCATGCTGGTTTAAGCAAGAATACCGAGTGCATACTCTATTTTGTTTTGGGGGTTGGTAATAGAAATTGAGCCCAGGGCCTTGCACACACTGGGCAAGCATCCAACCTCTGAGCTCCATTTCCAGATTCCAGACACACATGTGTACAGTACATTCCAGAAATAAAGTCATACTATTTCAAAACTCTAAAAGAAGCTATGAAGAATCAACAGAAGAAAAGCCACAGCTGGACGGTGGTGGCACACGCCTTTAGTCCCAGCACTTGGGAGGCAGAGGCAGGCGGATCTCTGTGAGTTGGAGGCCAGCCTGGTCTACAAGAGCTAGTTCCAGGACAGTCTCCAAAGCCATAGAGAAACCCTGCCTCCACCCCCCCCCCAAAAAAAAAGAACAGGTAGCTGAGAACCATAAATGTAGGAAAACGTCTGAGAGTCACTCTCACTCTCTAAGTCATCCTTGGAGATGAGCTGAGCAGAGCCAGAGACGAGAACAATCACAGCACAGACAGATTTGCACCTACTCTGAGGACACACCCAGCACACAGAATACAGTGTCTGACACATGAGGCAGGAATGGAAAAGTCATTAGATGGACAGTGTTGTGAGAAGGGTCAATATGCAGATTCTGTTTTCATTAATGCTCAAAGGCTGGAAAAATAAATCCCTCATCTTATCAAAGAAAACGCAAATAGCAACTGAGACCGTGTAGTTGTATACAAGCTGGCTACAGGACACCACAGCTTCAACTCCCAGGTGTGTACTGATGTGGTGAAAACAAAGTGGCCGCCTTGACAGGGCTATAAATACAAGTATGTTCTGAAGTGACTAAAGATGGGACATGAGGTGACTGTAACCGGAGCACTGGGAAGGTTGAGGCAGGAGGATCACAGTTCAAGGCAAGTGTGAGGTACTTACAAGAACTTGTATGGTAACAAAGCTGTTAGAGACAGCAGAAGCGCAGAGTCTCAAGCTAGCAATACAAACTGTGACGTGAAGCTGGGCGGGATGACTGATGTGTCTGTAACCATGACGCTTGGAAAGTGAGACAGGAGAACCAGAAGTTCAAGGTCGTCCTTGGCTAAATAATGAATTCTCGGTGATCACAGCCTACATGAGACCATGTCTCAAAACACAAAGCAAAGCAAAACAAAACAAAATAAAAGCTGTTTAAAATGCTCGTTTCCTTCAGTGCAGTGACTCATTTCTGATAATATTATGCTAAAGGTCTAACCCCAAACACAAAATGTGTGTGTATTTTTTTCCTTCTTTCACTGCAGTGCTGGGGTTGAACTGAGAGCCTCTTGTTTGCTAGGCAAGCATTATTTTTATAAAGAAGATAGATTACAGCAGCAAGGAAGGGCTCCAGAGACCACTCAGAGGCGGAGTGCTTGCCTAACATGCATCAAGACTGATTCCATCCCAGCATCAAAATAAAAAGACAGACAGATGGACAGAAAAAAGTCAAGAAAATTACAATAGCCCAAAACCAAGAAGCAAGTCTCATGGGAACCCACAGAGTTCAGTCAGCTGGCAAGAACAAGACTAGCACAGGGGACAGCAGTGGAGTGGCAACGCAGGAGGATCCTGAGATCACACCTTCTCTCTTCCAAGTTTGGAAGGGAGAAAGGCGCTTTCTTCAGTGAGAGGAGCCTGCCAGTGCGGTCTTCCAGGGCAGCACCTGTATTAAACATCTACAGCCCTAAACCAAAGTGCTAATGGAGAAGGGAAAAGAAACAGTCCCTATGAGGTGACAAGTTCTTCAACTGGTTACCTGCTCTGTGTCCTAAAGAAATCTGAGGCCAAAATGGTCAATGTGAGGCTGATCTCCACACTGTCCCTTCAACACCAGACCCCTGTAGGGTGCCCCTCTTGAGTCCAGGCCTGGGCCTTTCCAGGAGGCTCATAGATCCTGACCAGGTCTGTCTAGATTTCCTGGTATGCTTTGAGAGAAGGGAAGACACACTCCAGAGCAGCTGTTCTCAACATGTGGGTCTCCACCCCATGGGGGTAGGGTTGCCAAGGACCACCAGATATTTGAATTACAATTTATAGCAGTAGCAAAATTACAGTTATGAAGTAGCAATGAAAATAATTTTATGGGCCAGGCGTTGGTGGCGCACACCTTTAATCCCTTTAATCTCAGCACTTGGGAGTCAGAGGCAGGTGGATCTCTGTGAGTTCGAGGCCAGCCTGGTCTACAAGAGCTAGTTCCAGGACAGCCTCCAAAGCCACAGAGAAACCCTGTCTCAGAAAAAAAAAAAAAAAGAAAGAAAATAATTTTATGTTTGGGGGTTACCACAACATGAGGAACTGTATATTAAAGGAATGTACCACCATGTCTAAAATTTTTTTTTTTTTTTTTTTTTAGTTTTTTTGAGACACAATTTCTCTGTGTAGCCCTGGCTGTCCTTGAACTCACAGAGCCCCGCCTGCCTCTGTCTCCTAAGTGCTGGGACTAAAGGTCCCACCAACACCACCCCGCTTTATTTATTTATTTGAGACAGGCTGGCCTTGAACTCACCTAGTTCCTCCTGAGTGCTGGAACTAAAGTCATACTTGACCATACCTGACAGGCAGCCAGGCCAGTAGTGGTACACCTAGGAGGCAGAGGCAGGTGGACCTCTGTGACTCAGCCTAGTCAACAAAGCGTTCCAAGACAGCCAGGACTGTTACACAGGGAAACTCTTGTCTTGAAAAACAAAAAACAAAAAACAAAACTAAAAACAGTACACAAGCAAAAGCTAAAACACACGCATTTCCCCAGGTGTGGTCTCTGAAAACAGTCTATTGCACACTGAGTCCACCAACGTAACTGCTGAATGCATTTAGGAAGGATTTAACCAAAAACCACTGGCAGGGAAGGATCCACAGACGTCCTGGGGAAAATGTACGACACACAGAGGAGAAAACCACAGGACTCACGTTTCAAACTGTGGAGCAGCTAGCAGCCAACAAAAGAGCAGGACAGTTCTTTACTTTTACCGTGTTATCACAATGCGTTCTTACGACTTGACCTCTAGACACTGCTGAGGCACTGACCTCTTCCAACAGACTCCCTCACCACCACACACACCAACACATGGGTGCTCCCATATGTCTACATGCCACCTCTCCAAGCTGCTCAGTAACTGTCAACAGTGGGTATGCGTGACAATGACAACAGCTTTAAGATGTTCACTGGCCAGAGCCCTGAGGAAATAAACTCAGAAAAGAGAAACTGGGTTTTGATGCAACAATTTAAAAATAAACCCCCAAACACATAGCTGCAGGGGAGGAAGGGAAAAAACCAAACGGTAGGAGTTACTTCTCTTGAACTTATGAGGTGGTCACCCCGGGACCGTCAGATGTGGACTAACCGTGGCCCATCTCCGTCTGGGCGTAGGTACCAATTATCTGGAGTTCTTGGGACGGACGTATCCATTTCTCTCGCTGGGCATCGGTGCCCTGATTCAGCAAGGTAGGGATAAACATGGAGTAATTGAGGCCCACAGGCTCCACAAAATTGACCAAGTGTAGTCTACAGGAGAGAAAAGAAAAGCACC